TATTATCAAATAAACTTTAGCATATTTTCTTAATTAATTATTATTATATTAATTTAGATATTTAGATTTATATATTAGTGTTTCTTTTAAATTCTTAATAGCTAAAAATAGATTTAGATTATACTATTTGATGTAGCTCAAATAAACCTTCAAAATAAGCTATAAATCATATCTGTAACATATATAGTTCTCGAGTTACCTTAGGATTAATATTTGAGTAATATTTATATTTAATAATATTTGATGATGTTTAGTGATGATTAATAATGTTTAACTATAATTGATGACATTTAGCTATAATTGATAATATTTAGTTACATTTAGCTACATTTAAGGATGTTTAGCAATGTTTAGAAAAAGATAAATTAGATATTCTATAGAATAAGTAGGCAAACTTCACTAAACTTTGCTGAATATATTAAAAATTAATGATTACTAATTATTAGCAAAACTTATTTTTTATATTACCCATCTATTCTATAGAACATCTGATATATAAACCCTAACTTTTCTCACTCTTGTAAAGTAGAATTTGGTAAAATTTTGTAGTTCTAAAATAATATAATACTTAATAAAATCCAAGTTCTCTAATAATCTTTTAATAAAGTATAACCTTGGTCTTGTAAATACTTCCTTTAAATGAACTGCTACAGTGATGTGATATTCAACTTTGACACCATTGAGAGTCTCCCTTCCATGTCTTATGTTACTTGTGGTGTATTGAGAAGGCTATGCCACTTGTGACATTTTGGTGCCTTCTAGTGGAAAGGAAATGAAAAAGCCTCTGTATAGTATACTATCCAACAGGAGCAGATGATAATAAAACTAAGGATGAACCAATACTAAAAATTTGCCCGGATTATAGGAAACGTTCGAGTAAGTATTTTGATTGTATTTAATTAATTAATTATTAAATTGAATACAAGTCATTATCTTCGTAGTGATATGATTCGTTCCATATTAAAATTTTTAATAACTGTAAACTGGTTTTGAATTTAGTTAATTATTAATTTTAATACTAAATTATGTATTGAATTAATTGCTAATTAATCGCTGATTATTATTATTTCTCTATGAACAACTAATATTATAATTAGACCTAGCTTGATTATTATATGTCTGCGCTAGTTCGAATAAATACAAACAATTAAACAGTGAAAGCATCTGAAAATTGCCTTTACTGTATAAGTTATTGAATATCTGAAATTATTCTAATATATAGAAGAGTTTAAAATCCTTTTATTATTTAATTTTTATTTTTATTTTTTTTTTTGAACGAGGCTTAATTTTATGATCATGTTTTTCCAAGTTCTAGTACACAGCCACATTAATTTACATTATAATCCTGTATTTTCTAAACAACGGTCATACTTCATCTTATCCTCTTATCGTTATTATTTCTTTACCACCAATGAATAATGATAATAACCACCCTTACAAAAAAATTTTTGATAATGAAGGAAAAGACGAAATTTCTGAAATAGAATATGGAACTGGCGATGATGTTGGAACGTCACAAAACAAATTGGCTCAAAATAAACTGAGAGGATGGTTAAAGCGTGAAGAAACTAATAACAATGAAAATGAGAAACCAAAGGAAATTGATGGAATTGGGCGTAATATTAAGTTGATATGGATAGGATTTAAAAAGTTCCTTGGATTCGTTGGGTAATTTTTTTTTTTTTTTTTACAAAATTGTAGTTTATTTATTATTTATTTACATTTATTTATTTATATATATTAAAAGACCTGGGTATGGTAAATGTCTTTTGTTGAGAACTTAGTTATTTATAATCAATTCTTCTTTTTATATTTCAAACGTTAATTCTTGTTTTATTATTATTATTATTTATTTGGAGAGTATAGTTATCGCGGTTGGATATTTTGATCCCGGAAATTGGGCGACCGATTTAGCAGGTAATAAAATATATGTAATACATATTCTATGTATTGACTTTGGAGAATCCTTTTCTGAACATAAAAAATAATTATTTTAGGTGGTTCCAATTTTGGATATTCGCCTCTTTTCATTATTTTATTATCAAACTTTTTTGCAATGTTGTTACAAAGTTTAGCTATTAAATTAGGCACTGTCACAGGAATGGGTGCGTAAATTTTGTTTTTAAAGTTTATAATATACAAGTTAAACTTTTTAATTTATGTTTACAATTATTATTGAATTTAGATCTTGCTCAAGCATGTAGAGCCTTTGTTCCAATATATTTGAGATACTTTTTATACATATTGTGTGAACTTGCAATCATCGCAACTGATTTGGCTGAGGTCATAGGCAGTGCCATTGCTTTAAACATTCTTTTCAATATTCCTTTACCTTTGGGTGTTGCAATAACCGCGTGTGACGTTATGATCGTCTTGCTAATCTATCGTGACGACTTGAAATCTTCTCGAATTTTAGAATCTCTTGTGATGGTATTAGTTAGCGTAATTGGTGCTTGCTTCATCGTGGAATTATTTCTTTCTAAACCGGTTGCAAGCCGTGTATTCTCGGGTTTTTTACCTAACTCCGAATTATTCACTGTTTCTAAAGAGTTATTCATTTCTGTTGGAATAATTGGTGCGACTGTTATGCCACATAATCTATATTTACATTCACATTTAATCAAAGTTAGAAAATACCGAGAAGAATCGAACGTATTGAATGATATAGATAATAGCTTAGAAGCTAACCAAGTAGAATCTGATCAAATGATACATTCTGTCAAGATGATGATTAAAAAAATAACTTACGGAACTATAAAATTATCTTCTCTAGACTCTTCTGTAGCATTAACTTTTGCTCTATTTATAAATTCTGCAATATTAATTGTTGCTGCGACAAATTTTTATTACAATAATGATAGTACATCAGCAAGGGTAGCTGGTTTATTCGATGCTTATAATCTATTAACAAAGTATCTAGGAGGATCTGCAGGTGTTATATTCGCCTTGGCATTATTAATATCGGGACAATCTGCGACCCTCGCTGCAACCATAGCGGGACAAGTTGTTATGGAAGGATTTCTTGGTTGGAGAATACCTTCTTGGATACGACGACTAATCACACGAGCTGTCGCTATTACTCCTGCAATGTTAATTGCAATTATATATGGGCAAAATGGATTAACGGATTTATTAGTTGCTAGTCAAGTAGCATTGTGTGTTCAGTTACCATTCGCTATTATACCCTTAGTTTATTTTACTAGCGTTAAAAAATTCATGACTGTTGATATTAGAAATGCTTTTAGTCCTAAGAGTGAAAGGGATGAAGAAAATGAGGAAGGGAGGATTGTGTTGTTGACTCCTTTAATGCCTACTGAATCTAATAAATTAACGCATATTCCGGTGGATGAGAAATATTTACTGGATTTTACTAACCCGGTTTGGTTAATCATTATTTCTAGCGTTGTTTGTTTTATTATTGTTTGCTTGGATATATTTTTGTTGTATTCTTCTATCCGAGGAAATATACAATAGTTTAAAGTTTTTGGTTTTTGTTAGGTACAGTTTTATTTTTGTCAAACTATTAAATAGAAATTTCTTTACTATATCTATATTACTAGATATACTATTCCTTATTCCATATTTGATGGTATTTTATAAATAGACTAAAAATTAGACATTAAATATTTCCAGATTTCATGGAAGTAGAATCACAAGAGACGTATTTTAATTAATTAATTATATATGATTTATACTGTATATTGTACTTTTCATAAAAATAAATAAATACATAATAATGGATTCGTATTATTTTACAGAAAACCACTTTGATAGTTATTTCAATTTAACTTACAGAAATTAATTCACAGAATAATTGCATTTTATAGACAAATTAATTTATCTATTACTTATAACTTTATAATGGGCGTTCTCAAACAACTCCCTCAATATGATAGAGATCGTGCCCAAGTATTCTTAAAGCAATTTTGTAGAAGACTCATGGTGCGGAATGCGGATATTAAGGGCGTTCTCAAACAGCTCCCTCAATGTGATTTGAAAGTGATCTGAGACGTTGCTCAAGGTTATTACGATTAGATGGTAACAATATGCTGAAAATTCATCGTTCGAATTGCGGATTTTAAATTTTAGCCAATCAGAGCAAACTCTATGAAAAAAATTGGTGGTCGCAGCTTCAGGTTTTATTCATTGAAATGATAATTCTTTTTGATTAGTTTATTCGAATTCCGACTACATTGAGTGATGACCATCTTTTTTTTTTCATTGCGATCAGGGACCTGTGGAATTTGTGATATAATTGAGCAAATTATGTTTTCGTTATCAGCAAATTATTTGATTTACTGCTGAGATAAAAAAAAACTTGCAATTTTTTCAAAAAAAAGTTGCACTAAAAATTTAAATTGATTTTTTACATGCAAATAGTTAATAATTTGTTTGTTTGTATCGTTAAGCTATAAAACTTTATTTGAACCGTTAAAGTATAAAATATTCAGCATTTTTAACGATTCTTTATTCAAATTCTATAGTGACAGAATCGACACATTAACTTATCACCATCTTTTACAAAATCCTCTTTAAATTCTAATGCTCGACTGTCTAATGAAACTCGCTTTGGACCCATAATTAAGATTTGAAAAAAATGAAACACATTTATTTAAACTTTTATATTATTATTTAATTTATTAT